GAGCACGCCACGCCATCACTCTGTAAAGGAGGGAAAGGGACAGCCCACCAGGAGCCCAGCAGGACCGCAACACAGAGGACAGAGTTCCACAGAGGGGACATGGGGCGACTATACAGCCAAGCACCGTCCGCCGACAGAAACAGAGCAACTGGGCGGGCAGCGATCAAAATGGGGCAGCAGGCGTGGCAGTGGAGGTACAGCGGGACCCACAGGAAGGGGCCTGGGATCTCCTGGGTGCATTGGGTATGAAGCAGCCAGGTGGCCCTAATTGCGGTGGCACTGTTCGGGGTGCTGTATGTCTCTCTCACGTAAAATATAAACTTTAAAAAAAATTATTTTTTTATTGGGGACCAGCAGGTGGCGTGGTGGTTAAGGCACTGGACTCCCACCCACATGGCTGAACATGGTTCGAGTCCCAGACTGGGAGCCTTACTTCCTCACTTTTCTTCTCTCTCTGGTGAGTGCACATGCTATGTAGCAACTTAAAAAAATAACAATGATAATAAAGTAATTTTAAATAATTATTTATGTAACTTTACTTACTCGTTTATTTATCTTAATTTGACCAGAGAAAGAGACAGAGAGAGAGAAGTGAGAAAGCAAGCCACCAGGTCCGGAACTTGAACCACAGTCAGCCATGTGGGAGTGTCCAGCACCTTAACCACCATGCCACCTGCTGGCCCCAGCTTTTTTTTTTAAAAAAGCCCCCTCCCCCAGCCGTTGGTGTAATGACTAATGTTGCTGGACTCCCATGTAGTCGACTGCGGTTCGAGTCCCAGACCCGGTGGCTTAAACTCACGCCAGGTACAGGTGCGTGCATGCCCAAGATCCCAAGAGGAGAATGGAGGAGAAGGGATTGCAGCGTGGCCACCCCCCCCCCGGGGGGGGGTCATTTCTCGCTTTCCGTCTCTCTGTCTCTGTCTCTCTGGCGAGTGCACGCACCATATGTAACAGAGAGAAGGAAAGCGATTCCTTCTCCATTCACCTTTTAGGATTTGGGGCACATATACACACATGCCCGGTGTGAGTTTTAAGCCATCAGGTCCAGGATCACCCATGTGGGAGATTTCTTGCTCTGTCTCTCTGGCGAGTGCACATGCCCTATAGCAAAAGCCTCTCAAACAAACAACCAACCTTTAAAAAAATTTTTTTTAATAAAATAAACGGAAGCTCTGGGCATGCGTGGGCACAGGAGGCGCACCAAGGTTCTCTGGGCCCCTGGTCCCGTCCTGTGTGAGGCAGTGCCTGGGCAGGTGGTGGGCAGGACCACCCTGCGCTCCGGCCTCACCATGCCATGGTGCCCATGGCCGTCACGCACACAGAGGCCAGGGCCAGGCTCCCCCAGCCCAGGCGATGGCTTGGCCCATCCGCCCCGACCCAGGAGGGAGCAGTCCACCACCGCCAGCAGGTGGGTGCAGCTGTTGCAGGAGGCCGCCCAGCCCCCAGCCCCTGACGAGCCCACACCCCAGAGGCAGTTCGGCCGGCCGCAGGAGCTCGGAGCAGCCCCGGGCGGCGCCGAGGGCGGAGCAGGGCGCAGCGCCCCTCCCCGGGCTGCAGGCCGGCGGCGCGTGAGCTCCAGAGCACAGGACTGGCCGGCAGAGCGGAGCCCCGGCTGGGACGCCGGGTGTTGGGCGGGAACAAGAAGGGCGCTTGAGGAGGAACACGGCGGGG